AGAGCAGAGTGTGAAAATTCAGAAACCATACCCTTGTGCTCCACTCTTCCCCACGACCCCATTACTGTACAAAGTTATTAAATAAACAAGTCAACCAAACAAAAGATTTCACAAACCACAGGCAAATATCTCAAACCTGAATACACTCAAAAATGATTAAGATTGTCATTCAAAGACACTAACAAGCTTTTTTTTTTTTTTTTCCTACTGTATAGAAATGATCCAGGTAAAACTTCCAGAATTCAGGGCTTCTACTTTATATTTCTTATACCTGTGAAGTTATTTGATTAGATGAAAATACTTGACCCGAGAGTTCCATATAAAGCTAGGTCTTGAAGCAACCATTCCTTTTACACCTTCATGTTACATCAGGGCCTCAAGCTTTATTTTTCTGACACTGTAAATGCTTTGTAGTCACCTTGTCATTACCTGTACATTCTTGTTATACTTTGAACTTGAGAATTTTGTCTTGCACAGGTGCGAAAATATCAGGTGTGGCAATTTCAGTTACAGTAAGCAAAGAAATGCTATGCTAAAGTTAACCTGGTTCACTCATTATGAATTTTCTTTATATTTACATATCATAGTCTATATTTAATCACTCTTTACAATATCTAACTGGGCAATAAGAATATAAGTATGACATTGTGAAAAGCTTTGGGAAACAACATTATACCTAAGGTTATTGTTCTTTTATGGCTTCTGACAATATTTCTCCCTTGGGGCTTCTAGCTCAGAATGGTGTATTTTATAAACACAAGCCTCACTTGTATAATTCAAACATACACTTTCACCTAAAAGACCAAGGAAGATTCTCAGTTTTGAAAAAAGAAACCTTTCTCTTACCCTTCAGTGCTCCACTGCTTTGCTCATCCAGTGAGGCTCCCAAAGGGGTGCTGCAATCATAGAAACACCAAAGCCTCAGTCTTCTGAAAACCCATCTGGAGAACTGTCACTGCACAGCCTCACTTTAGAGTAACAGCTAAGCAAGCATCTTAATCAATTTAGTGCTCCTCCCCAAACACCAGGAATGTGCTCGGCTTACATAAGTAATGTCCTTCGAACTAAGCAAATACGTGTTGTCAAGTCAGTTCACCAGCAATGGCTTAATCACAGGTCTGCTCTGCAGCAATTAAGAGCAGGAATGGCAACAGCACATGATATACATTGTTATTTTCTTTGCAAAAACAGAGAGAGAGAGAGAGAGAGAGAGAGAGAGAGAGAGAGAGAGAGAGAGAGAGAGAGAGAGAGGGAGAGAGGATAGACAGAGACAGAGACACAGACAGACAGACAGACAGACAGAGACAGAGAAAGACAGGGGGGGAGAGGGAGAACACATGACAAAAGGCTAAAGAATTGTTTCACTCAATGCCTTCTGCTGAAACCAAAACCAACCAAAAGAAAAAAAAAGCAAAAAAAAAAAAAAAACAAAAACAAAACAAAACAAAAAACACAGATTTAGAAGAAAGCAAATTTTCAGTGGTTAGCAATTTAATTTAGTAAAAGGAAAAGTTACAGGAGTTAGGAAATAAGCTGGAGTTCCTTAATTCTCACCTGTCACCCCAGCCAGCAGTTCAGAGCACTACCTATTTATGCAGCTGCTCTCTACAACAAAACCTTTCTCATAAACACTGAGAAGCCTCAAAACCACTTTTGACACATTTTTGTCACTTAACTTGGAAAGTTCTCCTTGGCTCAACTTGGGAATTAATTACGAGTTAAGGATCAGCCCATGCTGATTTCCTCCCCCCTGTTTGTAGTTCAAACACAAATGTCTCAGAATTGGTTTTCAAATACAGAGATACTTCTACTTTTCTTGAAACAATTTAGTATTAGGACTTGAATCACAGACACATTATTTTATTCTGAAGGTTCTAATCTGTGATACAAACTTTAGTTTCTAGGTAACAGTTCCTACCTGTTAACAGTTTTCATGAGAAGTGGGATCTATCCTGGAAACTGTTTCAGAGAAATGCTACTTAATGCCAATTAAAAGTGCAAGCAAATACATAAGCAAGGTGGTTCTTTGAAAATTAGTGCTTTTGAGATGTAGAAGAATCACGAGCAAGTACCATATGGGCACTGATAAAACTTTTAGTTCTAGGGTTTTGCATACATTTCAGTTAAGCTCTAATTTCTCTCATTAGGAAACTTTGTTTTTTTCTCCTGATGGCTCTTTTCTTAGTTGGGCCCAAACACTGCATTTCTGTGTCCACAGCTGCCTGGGCCGCTCTGCACTAACAGAAAATGGCAAATGAGGCAGAATGTAACTGGCCTCCTTCTTCAAAAGCAAGTTCTCTACTCCTTAACTACCCTCCTCTAAATCCCATCAGAATCCTTACTGCTTCCTAGACATCAATTCAGCTTATTGGTTAGTGAAAAAAAGAAACAGTTATCAGAATGAATAGAGTCCACCAGAGAGGGGAAACTACGACATCTTCATTGATACGGATAGCAATGAATAAACAGTATTTCAGAATTTGTCAAGGGGGGAAAATGCTGTCCTTCCAATAATTTGCAAAAACATATACAAAAATACTTTAACACTCAACTCTGAGAAAGACCTCAAATTGCTTTTAAAAAACAGAGTTCCAAATATCCTAGCAGCCAAATCTACAACAGAATAGCCAACATTACAGATTATGTCTTCTAACTTTCCCAGTCACAAATGAATATTGCTTATATAATGGACATGGGTAATTACTGGAACAACAAAGAAGTCTAAGAGATGGGGGACAGAAGGATGCAGAATCATGTTCATTAGGTTTAGCAATGAAATTTCTGTAATTTTCTGAAGCCAAGTTATATCCTGGTCAATATGAGCATTTACCTGAAAGATGTACTTATTTCCTGTCTACTTGATATAGTTCCTTCTACAAACCCAATTCTTACACATCATTTTTAAAATGTGATTTTTCTCTTCTTCTTACATTTAAAAAAGTCCTTGATTATCCACTTGAAATAAAATGCTAGAAATTTTAAGACCTATTTTAAGAGTAAGCCGATACTGTATTCAGGAATGGATTTTAAATCAGGACCAAGATGTAATCATTAAAGACTTGAATAAAAGCAAAGCTAAACTACCCTTTTCACCCCTTGATGGAGAAACCTCAAAGATACTGCTTTGTGAGTTCTCTCCTAAAAAGTTTTGAAGATTTACATTTAAAATTTCAACCTTTCAATTTCACACTATTCTGCTGACATATTCTTATAATTCAAAAACCAAAAGGGTAAACTTAGGATGGTTTGTTAACCTAAAGATGCCTTGAAGCAATGTATTTGCCTGTGTGCATCTTTAAAAGGACCATCTATACATTCCATAATATTTTAGAGACTTCCAGGACACCATTAACAAAAGTAAAAAAAAAAAAAAAAAAAATGCAGTGAGCAATCAGTATGTCTTCAATTACTCAAGTCACTAAACAGAAACAGCCAATATTCTATCTGTCTTTAGGGAACAAAAATTACTACCATATATAAGAATCACTTTCCATAATAAAAAATAACAACAAAATAATCCCTAGGACAAGCATTGAGAAAGCAATAATATACCCAGAAGCAAACGCCAACCAAAGTTTAAAAGCTATTGTCTATACAAAGATTTTTCAAAGAGCAAATAAATTGGAAAAAGATAAAAGTGAAACACATTTAAGTATAGTCACATATACTTGCAATATGACCCCATCCTCTGTCTTTTGTCAAACATTTTTGTGCCGGGGGCCAAAGCATATAACTAACTACAGACTCATGCAGTCTGAATGCCTTCAAAGCTCCATTTCCTTCTTCGAATTCCAAAGCCATCTGACAAACCCCGTGTCCAAGGAGTTAAACTCCAAGGACCAAGTTGGTTAGTTTTAATAGCTCCTCAGAGGGACTTAAGGCACACCACCAAAATTAAAACCCGGTTAGGTTAGTTAAGTAAATTAAATTCATCTAAAACACGTTTGAAAGGAAAATGATTCCGCTCCAAGATTTGCAGATGACAAAATAAAACATCCTACGAAACATCAGAATTCCTTCAAGAAATGGCATGACCAGCCAAAGTAGCATCTCCATGACCTGTTTCAGTTTCTGATCTGATGCTGACATCACGCCCAGGCTGCTTAACTTTACAGTCCTGACTGTAAAGTTAACTCAGTCACAAATAATCAGCGCCCACAACACTTCCAGTTTAATCGCTTCAAGAAGGAAGCTATCGGCCGGCTCATTTTCCGGTTCCTAGCTTACAGCCGCCACGGGACCCAGAGACATCTCCGAGTCGCTAGCTTCTTTCTCCCCGGGCAACCGGAGCAGGACTCACCGGCAGTCTTTGAGCCATATTGCGATCTTCTCGTTGGGCACGTTTCCTGTGGAGCAGAGCGAAGGGACAGCTCGTTAGGGACACTAAAAGGACTCAGAGGCTGTGCCATTCTGACATCTCTCTGGCAGGAGAATCAGCCGGGGGTAAACGGCAGCCTAGGGAAGCCTTCCGGGCACACGACCCAGAGGAGCAAGCCGGCAGCCAGGTGCACATGCTGGCGCTAGAGCGCAGATCACGCGCGCGTTTAAAGGTCGAGGGG